CAGTAAGCTGATTTGGAGGTTTGCTTGAGGGACTCCGCCCGGAGCCTTTGGCTCAATAGCCTGACCCACAAGGCAGTGGGGAGCAGATCCAGCTCGGGAATGTGATTGCAGAGACAGATTGGGATCTGCTTGAGGGCCGTCACACGCAGCCTTTGAGGTTCTGGAACAATTATCATACGTTTTGCGACCGTAATTGGATACGCACCTGCGACCACGGCCAGACGCAAGTGGGTTTTTGGCGGGTTTGCACCAATTTGACCAGGGGCTGTCTGGCTTGAGGCGGGCAGTAGCAAACCATTGAACACCCGGAGGTGTCCTCCCACCGTCAGAAACAATGCGTGGCCATCGTGCTCTACGCCAATCGAGCTTTGAGAATATCACCCGTAAACCTTTTGTCTCCCATGGCTAGGTTTTACGGGAAGTGGGCCATCGACCACTTCCTAACCTCCGGAGAGAATGGACTAGGATACTGCCAGGGCGCCCAATCCTGACAGGAGAACGACTCGGGTCCTCAGCCAAAGCCTTCGATTAAATGAACACCCGAAAGGCAGCGAGTCTAGCACATGGTCAGTTAGCCGACTCATGCGGATTGGTGTCCTGGATCTTAGCAGGGAGAAGGGCGAAACCCAACTCCCACCCAGCGGTCGCCACGTGGAGGCGCCCAGGACATGAGACTATGGCGCAGCAGTAGCAGCAGTGGGTAGACCATCTGTCAGGATATAGCCACCACCAGCCTCAGCGCACCATAGGCTCTCTCGCCCGTGTACCGCTATGGGGACAACAAAAAAACACGTGGCACGTTTTGTGAGAAAAAAATTAGGCCATAATCTCTGCGACCCGTAAGGATGAGAAAACCAGCTAAAATTGCAACCGATAGAACATCGAAAGACACAGACAAAACTCACGAGAGAGAAGCTAAGCGCTTCTGTGAACCCGGCCTCTGCGACCGACGTGCGTATCATATCCGAAAGGCGGTTGACTGGCTGAATTTGAGCGATGCAATAGGTTGTTGGCAGCTGTTCCGGAATATTATCGTAGCCGTGCGCAATGGCGACATCTTCCACAATATCACAAGCGTGCAATATGTCGTGACGCGTCGGTGGGATAAGAACTGATAACAAACCAGATGGTGTGACTGCAAAGAAATGCGACAGAAAAATGACAGAACGGTGATGTAATTAGGTGCTGTATTCCTACGATTTTCAACTGTTTGCTACATGATAGATAAGTACAAGCCACTTGAGTGAGCACACACGACAAGTGGATTTTTCAGTACCGCGCTCAATAGTCAAAAACCACAAGGAATATCCACCGTGGGATGTACAAACAGTGACGCGTATGGTTTCACCTGGCCACGCGAACCAGAGCATGGCTGGTGGTACAGCAGGCACTAATCGCATATGCCTTCTCAAAAAGATGAAATCGATGGCAGTGCGGTAACGATTTCATAACGACATTGTGGTGGAGGGGTGGTGACTGGTGAACTCGTTAAGTCTATTTCACAACTGAAGCACGGCCCGTTCAGCGAACGGATGCATCACAATGAGGCTGGAACTTACTGTCGTGGGATGGTTTGCATTCCTTAATGACCCATTGAGCTGTGATACGTAGTGCTTCCGTATCTTCAGTCACTCATACCAGATTGGTCAATGGTTAGAGGCCAAACGAACTCAACCTCCTTATTCATGTATACGTACCAAAGTACGCTGGCATCTGGGTTGAGTAAACGCTAACTGAATACAGTTAAAGGTCACTGGTCTCATAGTCACCAGGCCTTACTAGCAGCAGGTAAATTCTCATGTGATAAGTCTAATAGCCAATATGGATATTGGGTCTCTTCGCAGACTCCGGAACTTATCGACGCTCGCCGGCGCATTCCAGCTGGAAGCGAACATCATGAGACCCGCAAAGATCTTAGCGCAAAACTCCGTGCTAGCCTGAGGAGAGAACGCGGCTCCTGGTGGTGTTTTCGTGCGTCAGATATGGAAGTGTCCACTGCACTTGGTAACCATCGAAGTTATTCCGTTTGATACGAGAAACGAGCAGGCGACCTAGTGTTATTAAAACCATATGTGATGAAAGTAAACAGCCTAACCACAACTTATCAAAACAGTTGAAGCGTTAAGCTGAGCACTTTGAAATGACAATTTAATCGGCAGGAATTATTAGATTTCTTGTCGGTTGCTGATCACCTCGCGCCATGGGCTACCGCATTGCATCCACCTTCTCGCTTAGAAGTCGAACGACATCAGTCTGCTAAACTTGAATAAAGCCGCGGGACCAGATGATATTCACCCAGCCCTCTTTAAATTCGGAGAACCTGCTCTTGTGGATAACGTATACGAGTTACTAGTGAAACTGTGGGAGCAGAAAACTATCCCAACCAACTGGAGCGGTTCCGTTATTGTCACGACCATCAAGGGACGCTCGCGTACGGAATGCGGCGACCATAGAGGAATCAGTCTGATCCACATTGTTGGCCTCTGTCATCCTTCACAGACTGACTGACACTCGTGAAAGCCAGATCTGTGATGAGTCATCCTGATTTCGTCAAGGTCGGAGCTGTATCGAAGATACCATTAATTTGCGTAAATTGTTGGAATAGCGTCGCATATATTGGCGGCAAACCGTTGTTGCGATGTGCCCCTTGGGACTGTCTACGTAAAAAATGTGCCCGAGAAATACATCAACATTATCCGAGCGCTTTACGCGTGTAGCTTGGGCAGAGTAAGGGCTTACGACAAACTGTCGCCGCCCTTCAATATCTCCAGCGGTGTGAGACGAGGATGCCCCCTGTCACCACACCTCTGCAACTTCGCTGTTGACGAAGTTATGGAGATCGCGTCCACAGGACACGAATTAGGTGTGGAGTTGCACACAGGCGAACAACTTCTTGACTTGGAGTATGTTGAGGGCATTGCCCTCATCTGTGACAGTTCACAAACGTGTCAGGCTGCGTCGTGTTCAAAGTGCTTGAAAGTGCGGCCTGTTGACCTCCCTGTCTTAGGATACGAACGTTAAACGAAGTTAGCCAAACAACCCAGATCTGACGACACGAATCCAAAGGGCGTGGCTGGAATGCAGTTGCAGATGGTAGAACTGCAATGTTACTGTAAGTACTGCCAATTAATTTAGGAATTGCAGAGGAAACATTAGAATTGGGAGTAGGCACGTGATTAGGGGAACTGAGTGGAAAGAAAGACATCAGTATCACGGTTTCGTCTGTCCGCTCTGCTGCATGCAGTAGACAAGGTGGTGCTTTTGAAACTGCAAAAGCCAAAGCTCGAAGCCTACGAGAGATTCATTTACTCATTGTTGTATGTGAGACTGGATACTGGCAGGGCGTCCAAACCTAAACGTGAACGATTAGAATCAGAAACCAAAGCCTTCGGCTCAAAGGCCTGTCCACAAGGTAGCGGAGAGATGGCAACGATCAGGTTTTACGGAAATGGACGCCATCCCTATTCTTACCTCCAACATGGAGATCAAGGATATTGAATTTGTCTGACCTACAACCACTGACCAATCTAATATGAGTGGCTCTCCACGATCCATATGGTCTACCCAGTATAAGTCTATGCGTCGAAGCGGTACACAAACCGTCGCAACACAGTCAGATTCAACCGTTTATGTAATTAAAAAAACGGGTAAACAATCACGATTTTTGTGGCTCTTGAAATCAATGTTGCAAAAGTTCTTTTAAGCGTCTTGATAACGTGAAGGCCTTGTTTTCTCCCCTACGGGGCGCATTCTCCATGTTTCTGTTCACCAACCTAGTTCCAGTAGTAACCTGTGATTGCATCGATACTTAGATGGAAAACAAAAATTGAAAACAAAATGCCACTGTCCTGATACACTATCACCACTTTTTCTACTAAAGTGCAAGGATTGTCTAGCTGTACCCACAATCGCTCTGTTCAACCGGTGACAGTTGAAGACGTGTAAGGATGACGCCTGTGCCCAAGAAGAAATCACAAAATTGTCGTCCGACTGCATGTACGTCGATGATGTCGGTCTTCGAGATACCACAAGTCACTCAACTTTCCAAACGCACCCATGCAAACAAACGATGTGTACCATCTTGCTTAATAAACCTAGACGCTCCGTAATGGATAATTTATCGTATCTTGGATAGTTTATAACATCTGCACTGGATGAGAAATGCAGGGCAATGCGGTCTCTGTTTCTTGACTACTTATGTGGCTTCGAGAGCGTTAACAGTATGATTCTCTACAACCGGCTGCTCATGACTGGTGTCCAAACACATATGAGGAAGGACTGCTTTACAAACTACACCCAAGTCATCCAGCAGGGCGCGATCCTCTTTCCGCTTCCGTTTCCGATACACATCGAAAAACTTCCCATATCGCTTAGCAATTTTTGATGCGAATATAATGGCGACGTCGTTTTGGGAAGTACTGCTCCGATTGTAAGATATATAGTTGAAACAGATCGGAACGGTACAGGTAGAAATTCATCACATCTAGACTCAGTCAGATAGCCATCACACGCTCGGAAATGCAGTGTACAGGTATTGCATTCTCTCGGGAATCATCAGTATAGCATAATCCATCTGGCCCCTATGAGGCTCGAACCCCTAACTTGACTGTTGCCAGTCTGTGGTTAAGACCAGTGAGCAAATAATGCCTGTAATCAGTACGCAGACCAAACTTCTTATAATGGTAGAAGATAACTGGTGGCTTAAGCTCGGTAAGTTCGTCGCTTGTTGAGGGGGCTACCCTGTCCTTCCCATGGCAGTAACGAGCAGATCGGCGGATAGTTGGATTCAATAGGAATACCAGTTAGCCCCCTAAAATAATAAGCATTGATTAGAATGCACACAGGTAGTAAATCGATGCATGACACAACGTAAGTAGCAGCGTATTTAACAACAAAGATAGCATAAGAGCGGGACAAGAGTGGAGTGACGCATAATGGAACAACCTGAATTGGAGTCGGCGTTCGGGTAGTCCGAACATATACTGCTGATGGCTGTGGTGATCAGACCCATTCGGTGAAGCAGATGACTGATTTTTGCTTCCGAGAAATGAGTGCCCAACAGTCGGTTCACGAAATCCACACTGATAACTTCGTTCCGGTACTCAAGGCGCTGTATGGAGGTGAAACGACAGACTGAATTACAAAAACAAAAAGAGTACGAAGGTAAAGATGTGAGCAAACTGATTAACAACAACATCGATGCTTACGGGGAATAGTTGACGGCTTCCGTCATGCTGTATAACTTCTACCGGTTCAACCCTGGAAGGGCAGAAAGTGGATAAAAATAGTTGAGAACAATGAATGTGAACACAAACTCATCTACAGTGGTTGGTAATTACAGAGATGTGCAATATGTGGAAGCGGTCACCTTCTAGACGGTGATACAAAAGGCGCAAGTGGTAAGCAGCAAAACGATTTTCAAGGAAGACTGCACTGCAGCACGCACTGTATAGCTGTCCAAATGAAACAATGCAACCGCAAAAAAGCACGTGAGCCAAGAGCCATGGCATAGCGTTAGTACATACGAAGTGATTAAAATGTGTTTGTATCAGAATAGGTAATAACTCCCAACTAAAGATTGGTGTCACGATTGATGTGAATGGATGACAGTGTTTGGAAACAGAGTAAGTTGTTGCATGCAACAGAAGTAGTCACCAATTCACAGTGTAAGAAGACGTCAATGCCTGTTAATAACCAGAAAAAAGGCCGGCGAAGAGTTCGCAGAGGGCAATCGGCAGATCAAAAGACATTTTTACTATATGGAACCACAATCCGGATTTAGATATGCGCTTTAGAAAAAATTAAATGAGTGGCGACCGTAGGCTTCATACCGCACCGAAGATAGATACAGACGACATTACAAATGCGACTTCCGCATAGGGAGTAAAAGTTAAAGTCAGGTTGTCTTAAGATAACATTGCGAACAGCTGAACTAATATACCAATGTATCAAAGTATTGCTATCAGAAGTGCCAGCATTAACGACCACACATTACAAACGTGCAAATTTTATGCGTCGGTGACGCAACGGTGTTTGTCAGTGTTTCTGACCACCGCTTTCCCGAATTCTGCAGGTTACCTAGACACAGATACCTGTGACATAAACTGCAATTACAGTTCTTTGTGAAAACGCTCGTGACAAATGCGGAACATAGCACATATTACGAACAGCAAGTGCAAAGCCTGCTACCCCACATAGCACCGTTAATCCCTTAAAAGTTATAGAAGGACAATTTAAGGGGACTGTCACGAAATAATAATAATAATAGTAATAACACAAGACCAATTGACAACAGCTCAAATAATGAGGCGGAATAGACGTAAGTGCGACACCGACACCGTGGTCGCGTCCGACCACCGAGCCGTCGGGCCGAAAACAGTTTAAACCAGTCCGACACACCGTTTCAGTGAGTGTCTTAATGATCATTTAACAAAACACTGATTGGCCACCTCGAGGGGTTCCATTCAATTAGGTGCAGTATTAGTAACTAATACACACAAATCGCAATGAGGCTGGACCTCACCGTGGTGCGATGGTTTGTGTGCCTCGGTCATCCATTGAGCTGTGATGGGTGGTGCTTTTGCACCTTCAGAACCACTCGTACCAGATTGGTCAATGGTTAGAGGCCGCAAAAAAAACTCAGCCTCCTGGTCCTCCAGGTTGGGGGTTGGAATGAGGGTGGCACCTTATTCCTTAAAACGGACTCCTTGTAGCCCAGTGCCAAACCCGCTGCCTTGCGGTCAGGTTTGTGAACCCAAGGTTTTGGTTGAGAACCCCAATCGTTCTCCTGTCTAGGCCTGGGCAACCTGATAGTATCCTGCCCATGTAATACTATGAATCTGTCTTCAAACGAATATCTGACGCTTTCGCCACCTCAGCGGATAATCAACGGTGCCCTATCTGCCGCATCGAGCCGGTTGGATAGGGGTTTGGATGCTACTGCTCAACCCTACCCGTCTTCTTATTCCCCCTCTTACGCTTTTTCACTCTTACCGTCCCGTTCCAGCTTCACTTTTATCCCCCTGTTTTCAACCCCCCGATTCTTGGCCCTCCCCTAACATGCTTCGCTAGGCTTTTACCTTCTAATTTCAACTCGCAGCTAACGCGGAGCGTCACTCCTCACCTGTCGACAAGCCCATGTCCAAACAAAACGGTCCATTCCAGTTCATCGGCTTCCATTTGGAGCCCTCGATCCTCCTTCAGATTGGCATGCCTAAATGTCCGCACACTACTACAAATCGGTCAACAGGCAGCACTTGCCCGAACATTGGAGACCCTCTCGATCGATATCTGCTGCTTGTCGGAGACCCGCCTGCAAGACTCGAGCTCTGTGCTCACTCTGCAATCCCCTTCAAGTGACGCAAGCTGTATTTTCTCATTGCGCCTATCCGGTGACGATGCAGCTTCGAGTACCGGCCAAGCTGGTGTTGGCATTGCCCTGAGTCCCCGGGCTGAAGCTGCTCTGGTTGATTGGATTCCAATCAGTAGTCGGATGTGTGCGGTCCGATTGGCTGGCTCGTTCAAAGCTTTGAAGTCGCGCGGGACCAATACGTGTCTATTCATCATCGCTGCCTACGCGCCCACAAACTGTGGCGATGATTCGGTAAAGAACGACTTCTACCGCGAAATGACCCAGCCTTTTCGCCACAGAAGAAGCACGGACACTGTGGTGCTGGCGGGGGATATGAACGCGCAAGTTGGAAAGTTGTCCACTGATGAAATGCATCTGGGCGGTCAGCACAGTGTAGGCTCCCGTAATGATAACGGTGAGCGGTTACTTCATTTGTGTGAAGATCCTCGCTTATTTCTTGCGAGCACTAACTTCCGACACAGCACTCGCCGGAGGGTGACTTGGCGCCCACCAGCCTCGAACCAGCCTTGGACGCAAGTCGATCACATTGCGATAAGTTACCGCTGGAGAGGCTGTGTCCAGAACTGTCGCTCGATTTGGAGCACATGTGTGGACACCGATCATGCACTTGTATGTGCTGACATGCGGATGCGTCCTGACGGACGACCACGACTACGCTGTGAGCGCACTGACATCAGCCAACTGACAAAGCCAGATGTTCTGAATGCGTATCGAAGTACGCTGACATGCGAGTTGAGTAAGTGCTCACTGGAGACAATTGATGGTCACTGGTCACATGTTCACCAGACCTTACTGGCAGCAGGCAAATCCTCATGTGGTATGTCTAATCGCCAACATGGATATTGGGTCTCTTCGCGCTCTGGAACTTATCGACGCTCGCCGGCATATCCCGGCTGGAAGCGAACACAATGAAACTCGCAAAGAGCTCCGGGCAAAACTCCGTGCTAGCCGGAAGAGAGACCGCGAATCTTGGTGATCTCATCGTGCGTCAGAGATGGAAGTGGCCGCTGCCCTTGGCAACCATCGTAAGTTATTCCGTCTGATACGGGAAACGGGCAGCAGGAGACCTAGTGTTAATGAAACTATACGTGACGACAGTGGACAACCTATCCACAATTTCTCAAAACGTTTGGAGCGTTGGGCTGAGCATTTTGAAAAGCAATTTAATCGACTAGAATTGTTCGATTCCTCGCCGGCCAGTGATCACCCTACTCCTTGGGCTGCCCTTTGGATCCACCCTCTCGCTCAGTAGTCGAACGTGAGATCGGACTGTTGAAGTTGAACAAAGCCGCGGGACCAGATGATCTTTCTCCAGCCCACTTCAAATTCAGAGGCTCTGCTTTTGTTGATGCTTTACATGAATTACTAGTGAAACTGTGGGAGCAGGAGACTGTCCCAACTGACCGGAGCCGATCCGTTATCGTTCCCATCTTCAAAGGAGGCTGGCGTTCGGAATGCGGCGGCCATAGAGGAATCAGTCTAATCTCCATCGCCTCCATAATCCTTCACAGACTGGCTGGCACCTGTGAAAGCTACATTCGTGAGGTGCAAACCGGGTTTCGTCGTGGTCGTGGCTGCATCGACCATATCTTCACCTCACGTCAGTTGTTGGAGCACCGTCACACATATTGGCGGCCCACCGTAGTCATGTACCTCGACATCAAAGGTGCCTTCGATTCGGTTGATCGATGTGCCCTTTAAAACTGTCTACTCAGGAAAGGTGTGCCCGAGAAATATGTAAATATTATCCGAGCATTATACGCGCGTCACACGGGCAGAGTAAAGGATTACGGCAAGCTGTCTCCACCCTTCAGTATCTCCAGCAGTGTGAGACAAGGATGCCCGCTGTCACCTCTCCTTTTCAACTTCGCTATTGACGAAGTCATGGAGATTGCATTTACAAAACATGACTTGGAAGGTGTGGAGCTACTCCCAGGAGAACGACTTCTTGACTTGGAGTATGCAGACGACATTGTCTTCATCTGTGACAGCTCCCAGACGTGCCAAGCCGCGCTGGACAGATTAGCACTGGCTGTCACCCGCTTCCGGCTTTGCTTTGCACCATCGAAATGCAAAGCGCTCCTCCAAGATTGGCCTGGACCGCCTCCTGCGCTGACCCTTAGTGGGGATCAGTTAGAAGTCGTTCGGAAATTCAACTAACTGGGAAGTTGTATCAGCGCCCGTGGGATAGAAGTTAAGATCACGAACCGTATAGCAAAAGCTCGAAGTGCTTTGGCTAATCTTCGCCACCTATGGCGGCGGCGCGACATCACTACTCTCGCCCTGAAGGATAGAGTGTACAATGCAGCGGTACGTTCGACCCTACTGTACGGTTGCGAAACCTGGTCCCTAAGATCGGCGGACATAAAGAGGGTAGTTACGTTCGACCACCGGTGCCTTCGCAGTTTGGCTCACATCTGGTGGGAACACCGCGTGAGTAACAGGCGTGTTCGACGCCTTGTTTACGGCACAGAAAAAGGAACTGAGCCGCTCAGCACCGTCATTTCACATACCAGGCTCCGATGGCTGGGCCAAGTGTTGCGCATGCCAGCCCACCGACTTCCACGACGTGCGTTGTTTGCTCACCGGGGATGTGGATGGAAGAAGAGGAGGGGTGGCCAAGCGATGACTTGATCCAGAGGAATGAAGGCCCTCACTTATGTGCTGTCCTCGGTTGGAGCGTCACGGCTTGCTGGTTGGGGTCCAAAAGACAGTGAACACGTTTGGTTGGATACACTTGCTGACATTACAAGAAGTTGAGCACAGTGGCGTTCGTGCTGTGAGTTCCTTTGTCCCTCCCAATGCCCTTTAGCCTGTCTCTCCATCTACGACCTCATTTCGTAGCATAAAACACAATAATTTTTCCTTTTGCCTAGTAGCCGGCTGGTAGCTTACCGGAACGATGCCTATCCGTTGCTGGTAACTCAGCTGGCACGCAACTGTTGTATTTTCCTTTTCCTTTATGTATCGCGGCACAGTAGCTGTGTTTTCCACCTCTAGCTGACGTGTATAATGATGATGGTGAAGCACGAATCAGTAGGCTGGGAGGGATGCTAGGCTATCGGTAACCGAGAAGTAACGTAACATCAAGTCTTTTAAAAGTAACGTACTCGATTTCCGCCTGCGTTGTAATGCGCATCCAACTAGTGTTGTGCATTCGGCGGGTACAAACTTCAAGACAAATAAAATCGACTAGCCCATAGCAACTGAAATCTTGAAAAGTACATTATGTCGAATGACTACCGCGGATAACCTTTTTGTCCTCTCGGGAATGCTCACGGGCTGGCAATGGCATGGACAGACACCGAGGTCGAAATCGTGACCGCCAGGCCGAGAGGAAACACGCTGGAAACGGGTGCCGAAAAGATCAAATCGTTGCTCAGTGCCAATACGGACGAGTGATGACCGTCTGGTTGGGTTTGGTTCGAGTTATAATGCTTATTTGACCCACGACTCCGATGTATTCATTATCTTTGTCGATCTCGTCTCCATTTTTGTCAAACAACGCACGATGAACTGCAGCCATCAACATCGGCACTTCGTTTCAAAATACTTGGACTGGCCAGTATACTTCACGGTAAGAGTGATCACCGGCAACATCAGGGCGAAATGGAAACCGCCCCTATTTCTGTTCATTTATCGACTTTCAAAAAATAGTGAACCCCAATCGTAAGGGATGTCAGACTATCTATGGCTACTTAGGCATATTTTCGAAAAGTGCAGAGGCGGCAGTCCAAAAAACCGAGTGTGTGAGGGAGTAACATACCCACCAGGCGCTGGGAGACCAATAACATTCCAGTTGTATCTCTAGTCCACAACAAATGAACAGTATCATGAAACGCCTCTCTTCGAACAAAGTGATAAATTGACGGTTGTGTCTGGCAAAATACCCGATTGACAGTGTTCTGTAGGGTCAATTAACATCATGAGTGTGGGAAGATTGACGCTATGCAACTGACGTACACACCCAATACATGCGAACAACCATGGCTGCGTGAATAAGCACACTAAGGGAATGCTTGTGTAGACCATAGTTTCGACGTAAGTTAGTCGAAGATGGGGAGAGAAAGCAAGAGGATTAAAAAAAGGAATGACACTCACGTGTAAGGGACTTCACAATATTCCGAAAACATGGTAACCAAGGTGTCAAGTACAACCGACGCCTTGTATAAGTCGGTGGCCGTTATGTCTATGAAAATGTTGCGAGTTTTGGCCGAAACTCGGCTGTGTTCCCCTGTAACAAAGATATACCTCGTATAATTATAAAGTGATGCTCAAGGTGTCACAACGGAGAAAGATGAAATATAGGAAATAGCTATATATATATATATACATATATATATATATATATATGGATTACAAAGTGCAGAAAACAGTGGAAGGGCGATGAAGCCACAGGATACAGGGGCTGTGGAACACAACACTACAATGTCGCAGTCAGTGTGCAGATAGTGATAAAATTCGGCCAGTCTCGGGCTGGCTGACCAGAATGTACGCTGATGAAAGTACCTTCGAGTCTATTCGGCAACACAGTTTTCCAGCTTTGTGAAAACGATAATCAGCCAGACTTCACACAAATCCTACCCCTGGCAAAATAAAACATGATAAATACGCAAGAACAGTGACACTAATTGACTGTCATGTAAAGTGACAAGCCAAGACAGACTCGGAACCGTCCCCGTTGCAGTAGTAGGTCAGTAGTATATATTGGGGCTTCGCCGCCATAAAAGTATAAAATAACAGAAATGACATTGCTAATGGGCAATAAGAAGAGGGCTGAAGGAAGCCGAACACATATCTCCTGTGCTCCACGTTTTCCCACAGTAAACTACTAATGAACTATGACAAATCCCTGTCACTTACCGTTTGACAGCGAATAAGGAGCCAATGACACCTGAACGAGGCTAAATGAAACGGTCAAATGAGACAGCAAACATCCCGTAAGGGATGGAAAGTTGTTCCTCCATCGCATAGTTGCATTCGCAAGCGTGTCTCTAGTGACGCCATTCCGTATCCCCTTATTTCATGGTGATCCTTGAAAATTCATACCGACCAAAAAACAGATGAAAGGAATACAGACGCGTCGAATTCAACTAGCCCATTTTAGTTAACATCTCGGAAACCAAGTAAAATGGTCAATGAATTTTTTAATGTACACCAGCAAACCTAACAATATGCAGAGCGATACCTGCTACCACGAGAAACGCCAGTGTGAACTAAAATCGCGCCGATCAAATGCACCAGAACGCGTTAATAACCTATGGATGTTCGGTGTATCTGAAGTAATGCTTCGAGAAGTACAAATTGTCCACGTTGCACTTAGATCAAGTCCCACTCTTGCGACACCAAATCGGTGGACTGTACGGGTGGTCAAAAATAAGCACAAATCCCTAAAAAGTTGGATTACAGGTCGTAAAGAATTCGCATTTTTCGCTGAAAGTAGTCAAGCAGGTCAAGAGGGTCAACAGCGAGTAAGTTTTGACCTCGTCATTGAGCCAAATTTTCACGAAGTTGTAGGGACTTTGTCATGACTAAACCCGAGATATATTATTATTATTATTATTATTATTATTAAATCCCCCATTATTTGCATGAGATAGCGCAGGTTGTTGGTCACCCAAAAATACGCTGCACTCCACGACCGGTTTCGAACTTGTTTGGTCTCACCAGAGTAAGGTCGCAAGCACTCAAACACGGGGGCCCTTGGGATGTCAGACGAAAGTGCCTCTGTAGCCAACCAGTCGCCGCGGGTAATGTCTGACACAACGGTTAATCGATGGTTAGAGGGGTCAATAATATGAAGCACTCGTCGTGTGAATGAACTGCGACGCACAATCTCACAGTGGACCGATCATTCGCACTGAGGTGAACCTTGACCAATTCGATCACTGGGACAGTTGTCATTTAAGTAAATGGATACAGGCAGTTAATCGCCCAAAAACACGCTGCACTCCAAGATCGGTTTCGAGCTTGATTGCTCTAATGTGGTAGAGAGATAAGAGACATTCGAACCCGAGATTTTTGGTGGAATATTCGTCAAAGCGACCGTAATGACCAAGATTCATCACCATCATCATCATCCACAACAGTACATCAGCCATTTGAACTGATGCTTCGCTGCCATACAACCATGAGGACCTATGAAATAAAGAATAAGAAGAGGGAGAGAAGGGAGACTTACCTGAAAACCTTAATGCCCTAAGCAAACATTCAGGATCAAGGTGCCTACCCCTTTTGTAGACAACATACCGTCACAAACAGCTGGCTATCGTGCAAAGATAAAGCGGCATCGGCGAGACAGCTTCCATGCGGCTTTCACTGCCATGCGTCATAGTCAGCCGTTACCCCGCAGACAACAACCCCAAACACACTTTAAAGACAATCCGATTAGGAGACGGCAGCAGACGTGCCACTGGTGTCGGTCGCGAGCCATGTCCTGTGAAATCTCGAGCCAAGCACAAGGCGAGTCACGTGGACTCCAGTCCGGAAGGCGAAACGGACCAACGGCACCCAGTTTGGTTGTCAGTGACTTCATTTCCCGCTGCCAAGTCAACTTCTGTCTACATCGGACCTTGCGCCACCCTACACCTGGTAGACTGAACAAGGCCCTCCTAAGTTAGCAGTGACCAGGCATACGTAGCACGTGCCCGAGCCAACGCAATTTATTCACTGCTATCTGTTCTAGTGCTATCTGTTCTAGTGAGCTCGCATGATTAACACTACTTAGTACTCGCCTATGCACATCATCGTTGCGGACACGCTGATGCTATCCGACACCAGCAATGATTCACAGACAACGATGAACAAAGACTTGAAGACGCCTCAGATCTTCAGACCGAAGGGGCCAAGTCTCACTACCATAGAGCAGGACGCCCCTCACTGTGGCCTTGTATACACGGACTTTCAGACGGAGGGAAATTCCCTTCTATGGCCAAAGATGCCTCAGGTTCAAAAAAGCAGCTCTGGCCTTTGCAATGCGTGAGCTGACGTTAGTTTCTATGCGCCCACCGTTGCTGATGCAGCTTCCAAGATAAGTGAAATGATCAACCACCTCAAGTTTCTCGTTGGCAAGCGTCAGTGGCTCATCAAGTGGCTTGTGATCCTGCAGCAACACTGCACTTTGAAGGTGCGAAGTGCATACCAAATAATGGGACCACTCTGGACAGGCTATTCAAGGTTGATTGTGCCGTCGCAACATGGTCGTCCGCATAATCTAGGTCAACTAATCTTTCACCAGGCAGCACTTCAACGCCTACATCGTGAGATTCCGCAAGGGAACACTCCATGATAGAATCCACGACGAATTGAACAAAAATGGGGAAATCGGCGATGCAGGATGAAGTTTATGTTTGAAGAAAATGTCATGGCTGTACGTGGGCTGAGATACTGCCAGGGCACCCAGACCTAGACAGAAGGACGATTAGGGTCCTCATCCAAAAGCCTGTCCGCAAGGCAGCGAGGAGGTGGCAATGATTTAGTTGTACAGAAATGGACGCCATCCCATTTCAAACCCCCAACCTGGAGGACCAGAAGACTGAGTTTGTCTGACCTGTCACCATTGACCAACCTTGTAGGAGTAGCTCTCAAGATGCCCGGAGGCATCACCCAGTATCGCTCAATGGGTCAATGAGGTACGCAAATCGTCGCACCACGTTAAGGTCCAGTCTCGTTGCGACGGATTACTAAGATTCACTTCAATGCGAATCGCAGTCCATATCGAGACCGCGCGTTGCAATCAAATCACACTCAACGGGTGCTTCAAAACTGCCCCTCCAATCAATACATCATGTTCTCTGATGTTTGCCAAGGAGAATTTCTTCGCGGATACTTGTAAATGAACGGAATACCAGAGCAAAATGGTTGCTAGGTGGTCTCTACGATCTATGACTGGCGGCCGATTATGCAACGCTAATTGATATTCGGACGAACTAAGTCCCCAATGTGAACTACCTCCTTTGCCGAGGATTAGTCAATACTTGCTTCCAAAAACTTGAACTTTGCGATTAACCACTTCATGTGTCATAAGCTCATATCACCATTATTCTGCACGTTAACTAGGAGTAAGAGACATCTCAGCGATTGCGCCGCAAAGTAAATCGAATTAGATGACAGTAAAATGGGATGGTAATGGAAAAACAGCAGGTAATACGGGACAAAACAATATTATGCTCTGCTATGCATCATACGTACAGGCTGAGATTGTGAGTGGAGGGAGCAATCTAAGGTAGGGTAGAGAGGGATAAAGAACTTCAGAGCACAATATTTACTGAGGTCGGTTCTTCGCCATGTCAACAAGGTGTCCAAGTGTTGTTGGAATCCAAATCCGGGAATAGATAGGCACCAACCGAGGCTACGTTAGGGGTGAGGACGTTCATTCCTATGGACTAATCGGCTGGCTTTCTCCGCCCTTCTTCAATTCACACTCCGGTTACGCAAACAATACACATCGCGGGATTCGGCATGCTGGTATGGCTGGTGTGTGAAATAACGGCGCTGAGCGATTTACTTGCATGTCCTGTAGCATAAACAAGCCGCCGAGCACGTTCACTAATCACGCGATAATCCCAACTAGATATGAGCTAAACTGCGAAGGCACCAGTACGCCAACGTAACTAATCTCTTTACGTCTGCCAATCGGATGGGCTAGGTATCGCAACCTTACGGTAGGGTTGAACGGGCAGCAGCACTACAGACTTTTCACTTCAGAGCAACAGTAATGTCACGCCAGTGCAAGAACAGGAGAAGTTGAGCAAAGACGCTGTGGGTTTCCATTACACAAGCTTTAATATTGTAGGTTGGATAGTTGAATTTCAAACGACTTATAACTGATCACCATCAAGGGTCAATGCATGGTATGGTTGCTGTTAATCCTGGATGGGAACTTAATATTGAAGCTGAAAAGCACAGCCCAAAACGGTTGACAGTCAGTGCTAATCCGTCCAATGCTGCTTAGGACGTCTGTGAGCTGTCACAGACCGGAACAATATCATCGGCATATTCCGGTTTGAAAAGTGTATCACCTTGAAGCAGCTCCGCACTTTTTAAGTCAGCTCCAATGAACGGTTCCCGTAACTTCGGCATACTCTCCTCAAACCGCTGGATATATTAAATGGAGGCAACACTTCGTCACAAAACCCCTTCTGCCTGAACTACGCGTTCAGCGCAATTCGAACGGTAGTAGAGTGCTGCAGATGATGTTGATGAGAATGAGCATCGTTTATTATTAGTACAGTAAATGATACTGCGATTCATTGTAGTGGCAGTCATGTATGGTTGAAACGCCCGTAGAACTGGACTAAAACTGATATTTCAGTAAAAGTGCTACACAGTCGAACTTGAGCAGATGTCCGCTAGGAGACGCAGTTTTACACACGAAATAGTTTATCTTTTCATTTTCTTGCTGATTAAGAAGCAACGAACGGAGTTCCCTAAGGATCTCTGTCAAAACGCGACTAGGTATGACAGACCTCGGTCAAAAGGGGAAAGAAGGTGAACCATGAAAAAGTCCTTAAGTGGAGACACAAATGGTTGCATCGTCTGCCTATACACATATGTAGTAAAAACGAACTTACCGCAGTTCTCGGTTGCTGAGAATCGTCCACTGATGAGTGGCTCGGAAAGAGACAACCAAACAGAGGGACACAAGAATTTAGAGTACAGTTGCATATCACGGCCTAGAACTTTTGCCTCCTTTGTGCACCACTAGCCAATTGGTCACACTAATTCAGTATGCGATCACTGTATGTTTACATGTGCTCTATGATGAAAGAGTAAATGATACTGTGTCGTTGCAATGAATTCATGGATGATAGAGGCAGATCCGAGCAAAAAGTACTACAATTCCCCGCAATGTTGTCGTACATCATTTCAGAAGAATGAACAAGGCTAAGAAGATGACGGTGGTTTGCTAGATAAGCAGCACAATAAGCCAGACGCCAGGTTGTACTGCGTTCTTCATTCCTGGCAAAGGAATTAGGGACTGTGCCCCGCGGATAACTAAGAGAAATCGGATGGTTTTAAAGCCGAATGTTCACAAGCAATTGTTGCAGATTCATCAGACTGCTCCGGAAATTAGGGTGGGCAGGTGAATAGACAGACTGTGAAAAAGCATACCTGAAACTACGGGCAAAAGAAAAATGAATGGCGCGGAAGACCCACCATTGATTATTGGAGGCATGGACAGGATGGTCCCGCAAGAGTCCTCGATTACCGGATAGAGTGGTTTGTCTTGAATCAGTGGAAGGTACGACTTCAGATGGGAATCGGACTGAAAAAGGGGCGGCAGATAGAAGATCATATGCACGGAAGGGATAAAGCAGGTAAAACACCCATCAGAAGCTGCGTAAATTGCCCGCATGGAGGGGTAAGTCACTTTGGAGGCGTATTTTTTGACTCTCATCTGTAACTAGTACCCCAAGCATAGACATAACAGCAATGCGCCGTGTCGACGCTCCGCTACCACGTAATCACCACAAGTCGCAAGTGGGCCTAAGATAGTGCGAGAGTCATCCAAGTGCCTACACGTAGGCTCGAACCGATGACATCCGGGTCGCAAAGCAGACGTCTTGTTCTTTCGGCCACCAGCCGGCGTTTCCCATGCACCCACCCTGTTGTTCACGCCAGTCAGTCATCTGTGGCTATTTACAAATGGCGGAATATCTGGATGGTCATCAGGTTCACATTCGCATTCTGATTTCGAGCAAACGTGTGCTCCATTGTTAGTCGTCGTTTAGCAGCCACACAACTATTAATGTATGGGCATGGACTTGCTGGTATTTGTGATTTTCGGGTGGCACACCTTAGAAAGACGGAAGATGGAATCACGAAGTTCGGCATAAAAATGATGGTAAGGAAAGTGCTCACATGCATAAGTCACAAAATTATGTATACCAAGATAAAAGAGTAGGCCTCAGTGATGGCGGCCAAAATTCATTTCAAAATGCCCTTCACAGTACCAGTTCAAAATCAATGTGATTGAAGTCGCTATACAATTTGACTTATTCTATGAGAAGCCAGAGTAAAGAAATTGAGTTCATGGACCAGATTGCGTTATGCAAACCAATTCCGCGTTCGTTTATCTAAGTGACAAGACTTTCACATTATATGACTGCATATGTTTGTCGCTTGTGTCGTGTTGCGATTTATGGCAGCAAAGGAAAAACCGCGTACAAGACCGACAACAACTAGACCGAAAGTTAGCGCCTTGACGTTTTGTCGGCATGTGGCAGGTTAATCATCATGCGAGCGAAGAGAACGCACCGTGCAAGACGCTCGCACTGCATGCGTGGAACGTGACCCAGCCATCTCAGTCAGTGCAGCGGTGTTAACCTGTCAAGAGGACGCCAGTATTATATAAGACGTGACGTCTAACATCGTTGTTGCAAACGTGGTCCCCACCACATACGAGCTATCCTCCTCAAACAACCGTTGTCAAAGGCCGGAATCCGGCGCAAGTCATGTACACGGCTCGGCCAGGACACACTTCAGTACAACAAAACCGCGTGAACAAAGGAATTGTAGTCCGAACTTCACCGAGAGTGAAACGTCAGGACGGTGCCACAGATGCTTCAGATTAACGGAAGCCGATCGGGCTTTGGCAACACAGAGAGAAATCTCTCTTTCAATAGTGCCATCAACAGAAACGCAGCTCCCAAAGCATATGAAGCCAACCACTTGCGCAAGCTGCGATCACACAAGAATTAACATCGGCGCAGGCGGATGATAATCCCGGGGCGAAGATCATGCCATACCTAGTATATTCAATCTCCAAGTGGTTTAGGAATGACTTGCATGATCTGTGGATCGTCACCCAACAAGGCAATATCATCAGCATAGTACTAACCGGCCGTGCCGTGGCCTGAAAGGAGCACTACTCCAGAACCCTAGAGACATTCCAGAGCGCTTGATAGGATATTTCAAGTTGCAAAGCAACTCCAAATCCCCAATATCTTGGAACATATTTGGAACCGATCGGGAAGTCATCATTTCAGAAAACTTGGTAGACGACCGGTTAATGTATTTATGGTACGTATTTATGGATGATAAATACATTAACCGGTCGTCTACCAAATTTTCTGAAATGACAACTCCAAATCTATTTATTTCATGGAACTATCTTCGTGTCACAATAACGGCAACTGAAACCGACAGGAACAGTTACATCAAGATTAAGAGGCGCACCGAAGTTGCACAAATCAGGCGATTATGTGATTGAACGACTCTATATCACCAGGTTACCAGGTGGTGGCCGAGCGGTCTGCCAAGTAGTTGACAAAACTCCTCGAGTCCATTCACAGGCTTCTGTCCACACAGTGCACAAGAGACTCCTTCGATCTACCCGAATCACTGGAACAAGCAATGAAGCGCATGTATTCCATAGATGTGGATTACCTTCCCACCAATGTGCTCATGCGCCAAACGTTCGAGGAGCTATACCAATTCCTATTGTGTCAGAACCTAGATGTGAACCTTCATCCGGAGCATCATAGAGATTTGATCCTGTTGTGCACACAGAATAGGCGATTTGAATTTGGAAGGATGACATAAAGGCAGATCTATGGCTTCGCCGTGCGTAGTCCTCTGGAATCATCTTTGGCAGATATTTTCTTAGGGTTTATAGAACGAAAGGTTGTGGCCAGCAATGGTGAAACAAAGCTGCGCAAGCGTCTTGTGAATGACGTTCTAGTCATCAGCAACAGGGAACAGTTCAACCGTCTTTTTACCCTCCTGAACTCGATTCATCGCAACCTCGTCATCATATGAAGTGAAACAACAGGATAGCCTACCATTCTTGGACGTGCTGATCGGAATGCACCGCCAGCCGCAAAGCGACCTGAGATGGATACTTCCTTAACTTTACCAGCTTCGCCCGGGTTGAATACAAACGCGGCCTGGTGAGAACACTTTGCTATGGGGCCAGATGAATCTACAGACTAAAGAAACTAAAAACTGAAGATAAGTTTTTCGCAAGGCAAAAGTGTCTAATGGAGATGCGGAGAAGTTCGTCTAGATCTACAGTAGATCTCCGAAAGAAAAGCTACCAGTATAATCAGTGGAGAAGGATGTTTATTTGTTCCTTCCGTTCAAAGACGATCATGTTTCAAACGATAGTAAACACAAGCTCTGATCCATTGTAACGCGCAGCAGCACTATCGCCCAGGTGCAACTCGTTCAAGCCCAAAAAAATTTGTTTTCGACAACCATCAAAGCAGCTCGCTAGACAGTTCGGCCACTCACATAGTCTACCAATTCACTTGCAGTAGAGGTGAGACCTACATAGGCAAGACTGATCGTCGACTGTCTGAAAAGGTATCTGAGCACTTCTCAAAGTGGTTAAAACAACCTTGGATGCAACAAGGTGAATTGGATCGAGAAATGAACAGGAACCCCGCTTAATCTATCAGTAAACACTCTATGATGACTCATCATCCGGTGGACCTTAATAAACGTGTTAATGCGTAACAGGAATTCGTAACTATTAGTAATCAGTGAGGCACTACTGGAAAGGGTGAACTGTCCAGCGCTATGTGCTCAGAAACACCAGAGGCAATCAATGAGATTGTTATGGACCTGACTGCCTTACGCACGCTAAGTACCTTTTCGATTTTCTATTATACTGGAGTTCCACCATGTATAACTCCGCAAGTTTGTGTTGCGTTTCGACTGATGTGAGCAATCGAAATATTGATCTTTGCAACCGGTTTTCTCACTGCGCCAAACGTACCCAAGGAACTGGGGAAAACAGAGCAAAACACTCAGAAACCGACAGGACAATAAAGTCAAGTCCCCGAATTCGACCTGCCAATCAGTGGCTGTGAGCGCAGCTACCATGCAAACCATCGTTTAGACTGCTGTCTTGCAAGTGGGACCATTGTATTAAGGCGTAGAGGGACGTTCCATCAAAACATAGCCATCGATTCTGAGTAGTCAGCCACGTCCATGAAAATGCGTTTCAAGTTTTCGTCTCTGTCTTCTTCTCTGCAAAACACTACTCCCTTGAAACCTCTTCTTCTCAAGCTAATCAGTATCGGAAACCATTGAGCTTGGTAAAATATGACAAAGATGTGCACTAACAGTTTCTTAAATCTAGGGTCCCACTTCATATTGCACCATTCAACACTCGTGCTCTATGCTTCATCCGCCACAAAACAACGCTGGCTAGCATTCTATGCCCAAAAATCAGTTGACGTAAGCTGTCACTATAAAACGCACACACTACTGCGACATCTGAACAGCCAAGTGGCTAGTCAGATAGACTCTGATGACTAAGATCTTGGCATCCATACCGAGAAGGTAAAGTCTGTGGTAGCGGTATTAAGGCTTGCATAAAGAGTAAAAGTAATCCACCTTGTATGGATCCCAATGGATAACCGCACGTGTTTACATGGTAACGAGGCTACATAAGTTAATGGGCAGCGTTCAAAGAAGCAGCGTCCTTTGCTTGTTTTCGCGTGAGTCCACACCTTGAGGCCTACAAACACGAATTCCAACGGCACCTTTCATCTCTCATTCATATAAGGGTGCGGATCTTATTATCGTTACGACAAGTGACATATGCGTTAAAACTGGCCGCATATCGAAGCGAGAAAAGCGTCTATGACGATGATGTCCCTGCTTCCGAATTAAAGATTCTTCGTTTATCGCGTGAACTCAGAGTCCACCGAAGGGCACTATAAACTCTGACTGGAGCGATAGTTGTCCGTGATAAACGAAGCGAATGAGTCAAATGTTATTAAGAATCACTCATCCTAACGAAAGTCACAGAAGTTTGTGGTGAGTCAACCAATGAGGATATCTTAGCAGACGCCGAGAGACTGCACCCGAGTAGATACATGCCAAGAAGTGTGGTTACTCAGGCGCACTCGTGTGAATGACATTGTGCATTCAAGAAAGCTAAAAAAAAGAACAGTGTGCTAACCATGGGTGTATTTCAATTGAAAATTAACCACCCACCCATGCACTTTGATTTTGTTACCGAAATCATCGTGAATGACACTAAGGTATGCAATGAACATTTGTGTAACCGCAATCAGCCTTCGCCATGTCTCATATTACTGCCCCAGTTCCTCCAGTCCCCTCTGGTGGACTCACACTCACTGATCAAACGTGTCACCCACAGATGCACACCGCTGTTCCTGCTCCCATTCGCCTGCTGTTCCCTGACCTGAACTTTCAGTTGAAGCAACTCCAACAGTCGCACTTTTTGATCCATGCACTGTTGGTCGCCTCCATATGCTTGTTCATTGTCACAGGTTGCAGTCACGTTTGGTGCCCAGTTTCCGTATTGATCTTAGGACTCTTTGACCGGTGACTCACCATCGGCACGCTTACGCCCTACGTGCCCTGTTCCCTTACGTGTGATTCATTATGTGTCGCTTTGCCCGCGTCTTCGTCCTTCGAGTTAGAACAGACTGGGTCTGGGATTTTGTCTGGTTGACGTCCTACGTTATGGTTCAACATGCCTTCCCGCCCTCATGTCTGTTACATGTCTTCCAACAAACTGTCTTTAGCAATGTGTCATTAAACTCCTGCTTTTTTCCTAAATGGTTCCTTAGTGAGACCATGTCTTGCTACATACGGGGGCGTCAGCGCCGATTCATTGTGTTGCCTCTGCACAGCCGGATCGTTGCGTTATTGTGGAGTAGGATATTCGTGAAGTATGTTGTGACTACTCCTGTTGGTAAAACAGCACCGTATTTCAACAATGACTGTGCCTTCCTCTCGATTGGCCGGTGACGATGTACCAGTTCCGGTTCTCCGTCGGTCGTTGGATCCATCTCGGAGGTCTCAGGTCGGTGTCCTATGCGTTTGCTAACTGTCCTAAGTGATTTTAACGCTTACAACCTGTACGTTTCCGTTGCAGTGAACGCTTTGCCAAGTAACCGACTAGCCGATGACATAGTTTGCTTATATCTGGACTCCGATTCCATGTGATCCAAGCCTTCGCAGTGCAAGGTATCACTGCAAGACTGGGCTGATAAACCATAGACCCTAAAAGATATTGAACAGCGACTGAAAGTGACATATCGGTTCAGTTAGTTATGTAGATGAATGATGGGGATTAAGTCACCGAAAAGGTATATGTGTTTCGGTTAAAGCCAGGTAGGCTATCATAACCTCAAACATTTATCGTGGCAGAAAAATCGAATCGTCAATCAATGGAGCAGAGTGTATGACGCTGTAACTTAGCCGGACCTAGGATGTGGGGCGGAGATATGACTGTTAACGTTGAGAACAGGTGCAGACTGGCTGTCACTGATTGTTGCGAAGTATCGATCGCCCCTGGCGAGAACACCGAGTGAGTAATAATGAGATCCGTGAGTTAGTGACCTGTAATTGATTCCTTGGTATCGCGCTGGACCATCTAATGAAACTTCATTGTCTGCGTTGATTCGAATGCGTCCCTGAACAGGTGCCAATTACTTATCTCAGTGCATGTTTACAACCGGTTGTATCCGGACAGACGAAATTTCGAGACGATTATTCGATGATAAGATAAAAAGAATGGATATAGAGATCGAAAAACATGACTGCTCTAGTGCATACTGTTCTTCTAGATGGTAACATCGAGAGCGGTCACAACCCAATCATGAAATCAACGATGATCTCGCAAGCAATAGATTGTCCCTAGTTGCTAACCTCAACCTAAAGAGAGCAGTTGCTTCCTCGATTTCTTCTTCCTCAAGTACTCATTCGTGTTCCATTGCGTTTATGTCCAAGATAGCTAGCTACATTCCACCTCGGCGCCCGGAGCGCGTCTACCTCATCGAACTGTCAACGCGTGAGCTGAATCCAACTCCCTATCGTACCATGTAGTCGGAAATGCAAATTTTCATATCTCGTCATTCAAATAACCGAAGATACCGAGCGCATTACCAAGAAAACTTGCCAACAACCTCCGCCGCAATTTTCGCTATCTCCCCAGAAATAGCATTAGAGCATACACTAGCCTGTTGGATTATTGCGTCAGTAGTGACAACCGCCAAATTAGACAGACACAAGAAAATAGGAATGGAATTTAGAGGGGAGGGGGAAGCGGAAGCATTTAGGAAAAACCGAAAACTATAGTGTGATTCAAAGGCATATCGATCGCAGCCAGTACAAGAATATAAAATCCTAAATACTAATCGGACGACCTTTAGTGTTGCTAACTGCAATCACGATGTCAGTACAGACGATTTTGTGAAAATGGCAGTGATTGTCTATAATGCATCGTGAGAAACCTGTTTGGATTGAACGCAAACCCAGAACACACATGTTAAACTGTCTATTAACTTGGCTCCGCTAATTATGCTGAAAGAGATAGTCAACAGTAATATTTCACCAAGTCATCCCGGTCATGATGCAATAGATACGTTGAACTAGATAAAAGCAGTGGATTATGACTTGGGTCATTCATCATCGGCTTGGAAATGTGCGCTATATCATGGTTAGCTTGTAAACCATGAGGGTCCGCCACTGTGCATATTGGCAAAGGCTGCTGACTGGTGGTGCAAGCTGCTGGTGGTCATAGCTTTGAATCCTGATGGATCCGATGGATACGCAATATTGTCAGTGACCATCAGGTTGAAACTGTAGTCTATTGATTTCCGGACATGTGGGCGACTATCCGATTTGCAACCTGCTGCGACGAACACTCAAGTAAGAAAAGTATATACTTAAAATAGTTAAGCAGTGTGGTGAACCCGAATTAAAAGCAACAAAGCAACCACAATTTGTGGAACTGATTTAACTGTTCAAAGTCATGGTGCTGTTAGTTACCATGCATAGTTGAACACGATGAAGTATACTGATTGTTCATACTGCAGTCAAGCGTCACGTAGCCTTGAGCTGTTGTGCAGGTTTGATACGACTATGCAGTGGATCTGAATCCACAATTAGACTATGGAAATAATCTTCGGGAGTTCTATATCTTGTAGCGCATCGCTAATTTCACTCTGGAAGATGTCTGAAAAGTTTCAGTCTGATACACTATCACCGAAAACAGTGACCGATGAGGTCTTTCTCAATTGTGATATCATAAGCCTTATGGTAGTTACACAGTTGCACAAATACAGTATAACTATGTGGTACGTACAGGTCCAGTTGGGAGTTTATGTTGCCAATGGTAGCTGGACGAGCTGTCAGAAACAGTACTTAAGGAGTTCACCTAAGATGAAAGTAGACCGAAGGGTCAGTTATCTTTTTAACTCCCAAGAACAAGTTGTAACCTGCAGAGTAGCTGGTCCAATACGTTATTGCAGCAGTTTATTCCAGGGATGAGTTACATTTTTCTCAACACCAGCCCGTAGCGGGCAATGAGGATAAGGGGTACTTGTATGTGTTGAGAGTGATCATTAAATAGTGAGTCAGTGATAGATACACATCAAACGCGCTTAGGGTTGGCAGGTGAGATCGACGTATCAACTTGAAAAGACTAACCGCATATAATTCCACCAGTTCTTCCGCAGTATGAGACTCAGTTTTGTTGAGAGGAATGAAACGTATTTGCTTCGGTGGACGAGCATCATACACAAACGGTGGCTTTATGGTGTCCAAATCGTGTGCTCCAATGGCCGCCAAAGAACGCTTTCTGAATGGGGCGATAACATATTGTGAGGTGTTAAATCAATCGTCCATGAAATACAGTATGAGGGGGAGGGTCTAGTAATATAAAACAACTAGCGAACACATAACATGGAGAAGCGACATGAAGTGGATACAAAATCTTGACGAGTACTGGAAAGTTGAGAAATGCCGATAAAATTGTCAAAAGGTACAAAAGACAAGTACATAACACACAGAGAAAGCTTCCTTCATCCATCATACGGGCAGTACAAAGATAAGCATGATGAATCGAGCGTCGCATCGGGTGCTGGGATTCGCTAATGTGCTAAATATACAGCACGATGCCGAAAGTGTGATGGCGTTAGATAGTTGAATGTAATCATTTCTCTTTCCCTAAACATTTTCAAAATCTATGTGAGTAGGAAGCAGCAGAAAATTCAAACACATAATGGACTATAAAAAGACGAATGAAGTGCATGCCGCGCCACCAGAAAAGCTGGGGTAAAACAAAAACAGGCATGGCTTCAATCGCTAAACGTAGCCGATGTATAAACAGACACGTGACCAGTCGTACCCAAGAAATCATCCGAGACCGAATACGGAAAGTAGAGAGCCAGAGGATTTACAACTATCGAAAATTTCTGGAGCAAACGCAGAATAACATCATGTATTGCAGTGCATTCTCAACAGTACGGTTGTGCAGCGTCCTATTAAGGTGGGATGAGTTTGCCAAATCCATGATCTGCCAATCGAACATTTGGTGATTTATTTAATTCAGATATGAGTATTGCCTTTGGTCCGGCCCGTGGCCTAAAGGATCACAAGCCTGACTTTTAATCCGAGAGCACGGGTTCAAGCCTGGGTAGGAATCGGGAGGCCCTCGCAGTATCCTTAGCCCACGCGCGACTGGTGGTAGGTGTGCGGCAACGAAGTGTCGGTACTGCGTACCGGCGTACTACTGATACCTTTAGTAGTGCCTCCGGAAAATCGTTCCAATAGCTCACCACTCGACGCCCGAGGCATAGAGAGTGGAGCATTCGCCTCAGATTCAGTACTATATATAAGCAAGTTTAGAAAGAGAAACAAAACACGAGGCTGTAAACGAACTATTGTTTTCGACTAATTCTTTATCAGGCTCATACATTAATATACATTAGGGTAAGGTCTGTTGCAATCGTTCGTATAACAAAGAAATAATTGATCAAAAAACTTAACTTTGATCATGATGGCAGTCATCTGATCACATAACTGAAGTCAAGTGGGGTTGCGGAGTGCCATCACTTCCTTCCCGTCTGGTGATCGGCCACTGAAGTTGTAATGTTTGTGCTATCTTCTGGGCACACAAGTCCGGGTTTGTCAGGCGTATGCATATTGCCTTAGCGGTGGCAAATAGGCTTGCTCTTACACGATGGTTACGCCTTGTTGGTACTCTGTAGTGAATCTAAAAGGCTGTTTGTTTGTCTGGTGGCCGGTGTTGATTAGATGGTTTGTAATCGCGCTGTAGTTTGTCTTATTCTCGCGATTGTAGAGCCATTCAGATCTTCGGATCATCGTTCTCCGACTAATTGCTGTCCTTCGCCACAATGTGTTTCTCAGTTGTAACAAGGATGTTCTAGTGCCGTCAATACTATTCCGGATTTCGAATGTAGCCTGACTATTGGGGAGCATAGTGGATCCAAGATACCTGAACTCAGGAACAGATTCGATTAGTTGTCCATGTAAGGAGCGCGATGGGGCGGACTGAGTGGCTAACGATGAGAAGTATTTCGATTTGCTGATGTTAATTTCGAGACCGATCATAGAGGCTGATTGTTCGACCCGATTTAGCAGTCACTGTAGTGATATAGCATCTTCCGCAAAGATAACGATATCGTCAGCAAATTCTAGATCCGACAGTCAGAAGTCAGGGCTAACTTGAACACCACGATAGCCCTCAAGGGCATGATGCGTAACCCAGTCGAATGCGAAGTTGGACAGCACTTGAGAAAGTGGGCAACCCAGCCGGACTCCAGTATTGATGTCGAATTCCTTTGTTTCTTCTCCATAGACCCGAATCCGGGCTTGCGTGCAACAGTAGTATGATCTCATTAAGTTAACGAGTTTAACCGGCACGCCATCGGCAAGTAGGATTCTCCCAAGTGCTTCACGGTCAACTGAGTCAAAGACAGCTCGAAAATCAACAAAGCACGCAAACGTGGGCTGCTGGAACTAGTAGCGGTGTGCAAATACTCGAAGTAGAGGGAAGATTTGGTCGGTGCAGCTTCTGTCTGAACGAAATCCCCTTGGTTATGGTAAGTTCGCAGGTTCCTCTCATTGGTAAAGCGGGAAAGTAAGATTCGTGAGAAGGTTTTGGCAGCCACGTATATTAGGCTAACCCGCGATAATTACTGCACACAGTTCGATCATCTTTTTTTGGAAATGGCAGTACTAGTGAGGTACTCCATTAAGGACAGATTTCGGTCTCCCATACTGAGCAGAAGAGCTCGTGCAAATGGTCAAGGAGAGCTGGTAGACAAGAGTTATAGATTTGTAGTGCAGAGGACGACACCAGCCGTTGCACTCGCCTTTTGCTGATTCCACCAAACCATTTGCTAAGATGAACTGCGAGGCATTGTGGCTAGTGTTTGGTAAGTTTGGTTGTCCAAGTAAGTTTAATTGAATGTCTGTACAGTGGTATGCGAGCGAGGTTGTAGCTGAGTGGAGAGATCTCGGATGACTTTGCAGTTGTCTCTGGTGTGAAGCAAGGCTGTCTTAGCTCCTGCCCTGTTTAATATATATCTTCATGCCATGACGTCTTGCGCGTTTGAATCGGCTTGTGCTTACAATGTTCGTGTGGAGCACCGTATTGATGATGGGTTGCTGAACATCCGTCGTTTCGGTGCGAGAACCCTAGTCAATGAGACAACTATCCGTAAGTTACCGTTTGCTGACGACAGTGCGTTGTTTGCGCACAGCGCGGATGGGTTGCAGCACATGACTGATGCTCTGGCTTCGACAGCGGCCAAATTCGGGCTCAAGATCAACACAAGCATGTGTTTGTCTTTTCCAGCCTTCATCCGGAATGGGGTCCGTGGGCCTGCCCCAAAGCCAGATTGCCGAGGAAGTACTGGAAACCACTTCGTGATTTTGCTACCTTGGTAGCGTAATAACAAACGACCAGCAGAGGACGAGTGAGCTGCGCAGCCGCGGATCGAAGACAGCTGCGGATTTTGTCAAACTGGAATGCCGTGTGTGGAACAACCACCAGCTCACTGTTGAGACGAAGCTGCTGGTAAGTCTATGGTGCTGTCCGTTCTTCTATACGGCAGCGAAATCTGGACGCTTTATCGGAAGGACGTCCGATATCTGGAGCGCTTCCATCAGTAGTGTCTGCGCCGTATTATGTGCATCGGCTGGAGTGACCGAGTTGCAGACACGGAGGTGCTTCGACGCAGTGGCATGTATGCAATGGATTGCATAGTTCTGCTGAGGCACCTGAGGTGGCGCAATCATATTCGCCGCATGGATTCGACCCGGATATCGAAATAGCTGTTTTATGGGCAACTGAGTGCAAGGAAAGGCACGTGGAAGAATTGAAATTACGTTACCAGGACATGAACAAGGTGATTTAATCAGGTTATAATGTTGATTTCAGATGTTGGGAATCACAAGCGGTTGATCGGCGTACATGGCGCGATCTAATCACGAAGACAGTTGCCGAGGTGCAAAAGAAAGCCCTCGTGAATGCAGAGAAGAAGCGGCAACTGTTGAAGCGACAGGCGTCGATGGATTGTACTCCATCGATGTGGAGCGCATGGTGTTGTGGCACATGCGGTCGCGAGTGCCTGAGTCAGGCAGGCCTAGTAAGCCAAGAGCGAGGCCACTCAGGACCAGCATCGAAACGATGACGAGTCCTGCTGAGAAAGTGGGCAGAACCGGCGCAGCGTTGGTAGGTACGCTGCATACGATTTAATAACCGCGTGCTTATACGCTTAGTGTTATTTCGTACCCTCATTTTAAGGAATACCTGAATAATCCATTAAATAGTAAATTTTGCTGAAACTAAAAGACATTAAATTCGCTTATTTGTTCTCCCTCTTACATATGTGTCTTAGTCGTTTCTTCTGCCATTCTGAATCTACCACGGCTATTTCGAGAATCCACTTATTTCATATGCTAATTTAGCGGCATATCCGTACGATGTATCCGATCAATCTTCATGCGATCGGCTGTCGCTTGACATCCCCGGTGTGGCTGCGCTTGATGCGCATGTTGACAAGGTGTCTACCTGTATATTACATGCCGCCTCGTCTATACTGGCTCCAGGAACCAGTTGGCCGTCACTGGAGCGGACGGGATGCAGGTCCTCGTGGCCGTAGTAACCTCAAAGAATGGCTCTATGCACTCAGTTTGAAGTGGACTACGGTGCAGCTACCGCCTTGTGTGCGCTTGATTCCCAAATACAGAGTGCCTGTGTTTGCCTGTGAAGGAGTGTGTGCCGGCTGCGTTGATGAAACCTGGCTCCCATCCGCATGTCTCCCGGTCTTATTCCTTCGGGTTTACACTGGATATGGGGTATCTGGTTGGTGCTGTGGGTGGTGCAGCGCAAGCCATCCATGGTCCCTCTGTAGGCGCAGGCGTCCTGTGGCTGGCCATAGTGACAGGCGAATCCGAAACCGGACGCCGCAAAACATATATATATATATATATATATATATATATATATATATATATATATGAAATCAAATAAATCCAATAATGCATACAGATAGGGTGGCATAACCCTTTGTTAAATTACCATATGAAGTAAGTTGGTTAGCAAGGAGTCCGCGATAAGTAAGAAATGTCCACAAGTTACACAAAAATGTTACAAACGTAAAAAGTTACCGAAGATAAGCGCAATTAGCGTAAGCAACGTGGCCAGTTAATAGAAGATTATTCAGGTGGGCAGAACAAACCAAATAAAGTGAAATGAAATTTATCCAGTTTAAAAAGACCTAGTTTAAGTGCAAGTTGGTTTAGCCCAACTGCAGTGAAGAAGCAGCA